CCTGGGGCTTAGGCATGCTAGGCTTGTGCTTTACAGCTACAACTCTAGCCGTCTGGGATATTTTGATCAACACTAATTTGTGGGCTCTGACTAATGTTGCATATGCTTGTAGGTCATCATCTTTACTGTTGATAGAAGTATTCCATTTGCAAATGCAGTATAATTTATCCATCCTAACAATTCAGAGTATTTGGATAGCTTCATTTGGGGCTATATAAACATGTTGCTGTGATCATTATAATGTGGTTTTCTTTTTAACTTATGTCATTTATTTTAATTTTTGTTTTTGAGACAGGGTTTGGCTAGGCAGCCAGGCTGGCCTGGCATTCTCTCTCCTCCTGCCGCACAGTGCTGAGACTACAGGCATGTGCCACCACATGCCTGGCTCATTTGAGTATTTCTGTTGGGAACTCAATTTTATGTGAAAAAGCTTGGCCAAAGGTCATACATTCAGCTTTCTCAGACGTTTTCCAAAGTGGCTACATACTTCGCCCCTGTACCAGTACTTACCAAGATCTTTCCTAAGTCATGCATTTTCAGGCCCTTGTTTTAGTCATCCTAGTGGATACGCATAGGTACTGTGATTTGCTTTTAATGACGGATGCCAGTGGTGAGCTACAGGGCCTGTCTTTTGCAAAGACACCAGGCCCGCCAGACTTGCCAAGGGAGTTTTACAGAGTGGTTCGTCTAGCATCACATACCTGTAATCCTTGGTAACCAAAAAGCAAAAGTAGGAGGATCACAAGTTTGAAGGCCAGCCCCAACAAAGAAGAGGAAATAGTGCTGTCTCAAAAATGAAAACAGAAGGACTTGGGTGTAGCTCAGTGGTGGGGCGTTTGCCTAGCATGTGTAGATCGAAGCTCCAGAATTTGGGGTGGGGGGAGAGGGGGGCGGTAAGCATTTGGTGGATTCAGGGAGCAACAGCCCCTTCAGCTTAGCAGGTGAGCCAAAAGTGTGACAGGAAAAATAGCAAAAAGAGAATTAAACATTGAGGCAACGTACAGAGCCATAGACAAGGCTGCTTATTTTGGATATGAACATCAGCCGAGCCCCCAAGTCGTGGGCCGAGGCCTGGCCATGTGCTCCCTGGCCCGCGAGTCTGGATCCGCCTGAGCCAGCAGAGGCACCAGGCTTTTTCCCAGCTTCCTTCCTCTGAGGACTGAGACTGAGGCCATCACGCATCCGGCCCTGGGGGAATTTTTGCTGGCCAGGAAGAAGATGGAGGCCATGGGGGTGGGCTGAGCCCCTGGGCTCCATAGTCTTTCTTCCCCTAGAGGCCTTCCGCGCCCCCATTTCATCCTCTCTATCCTAGCTGCCAGGGCTGTCATGGATCCGGCTGTCTGTATGCTATTGGTCTCTTGTTAATCACCAAACCGAAGGTGGCAAAGGGCCAAGTTTCCTGCGGCCACAGCCACAGCCCCGCGTGAGCAGCCCTGGCCGGGCGCCTCTGTCCCTGCCTCGGATGGGCCGCGCTTCTGTGGGCGGAGACCCCAGGATCCATGGAGAGCCGTGCGCCGGGGGCTGGGGAGCCACTCCCGGAGGGCTCCGGGGCTCGCAGGGACGGTGGCGCAGGGCCCTTCCCCGCAGCCCCGGCCCAGCCCGGCGTGGGCGCGCGCCGGGACCGCAGCGCCTGCGTGCCGCCAGGGCGAGCGCGGGGCTCCCGAGCGCGGGGCTCTGGCGTACCCGCACCGCAAAGCGCCCGGCCCTGGGGACTTACACAAAGAAAACCCAGCCGGGCGCCCGGGGCTCAGCCTGTGATCCTAGCTACTCAGGAGGCTGAGCTCTGAGGATCGCGGTTCAAAACCGGCCCCCGCGGGAAAGTCTTATCTCCAATGAGCCACCAGAAAACCGGAAGTGGCGCTGTGGCTCAGGGCAGCGGTGCGCGGAGCCCCTGCCCGCAGCCCGCTGGGTCCCCGGGTGGGGCCGCCTGTGACAATACCCAGAGTCCTGCACCTCCAGAAGGCGCCCGGGTCACTAAGGAGCCATTTTGTGTTTATTTTGTCTTCTCCCTTCCCCGATTTTCTTTTTTTTTTTGTTGGTCGTGGGGCCTGAACTCTGGGCCTGGGCGCTGTCCCTCAGCTCTTCAGCTCAAGGCGAGCACTCTACCACTTGAGCCACAGCGCCACTTCCCCGATTTTCTTGAAAAGATGAAACAACCGAGAGCCTGCTGTAGCTGTGGAGCAGGGAACGGAGGCGCGGGCACTCCCTCACACCCTCCCTTCACGTTTCTGACTGCAATGTCCAAGGCTGGCTTCATGCTGGCTGGCAAAGTACCAGCGATGAAGACCCCAACTTCGCTCACGTGTAGGAGTGAATTTCATATGGGTGGCCCTGGGCCCCAACCCAGCGCGCGCGTGCGCGCACGCACGCGCGCGCGCGCGCACACACACACACACACACGGGAGTGCGCACGCGCGCGCACACACGTACACACACACGGGAGTGCGCACGCGCGCGCACACACGTACACACACACGGGAGTGTGCACGCGCGCGCACACACGCACACACACACGGGAGTGCGCGCACACACACACGGGAGTGCGCACACACACGCACGCACACACACACGGGAGTGCGCACACACGCGCACACACACGTACACACACACACGTGCGCGCGCTCTAAAGCCCCTGCAAGGAACACATTCATCCAAGTCAACCACCAAATTGTTTCCTGCCTCAGTCATGGAGACTGTTAATGAGAGTCAGTTTTGTCTGCTTTGCTGCAGAGTATGTGCTGCTCAGGGGTCTGGTTTTTTTTTTTTTCCAAAGCTAGTCTACAAAATTGGAGTTGTTCCCCAGATACACACCAAATACACCAAACTCATTCCTTAGCGAATGCAAAGGATGACAAGTGTCGGTACTTTATACAACTAGATTTAATAAGTTGTTATTACAGAAAAAAAAGAAGTCCAAACTACAAAGTTTAAGCAGTTGTAAGCAATAGCTGCATTGAGCTCCATGTTTAGTCACAGTACTGTATCCCATACAAGCAGAATTAGTCCAAGCCCCAATGGCAGAAGCTGAATAGGGTTACTAGCAAAAAATAAAATAAAATAAAAATCAACAAAAAAAGAAAACGATCCAAGAGAACAGGTAATAAAAGATACAATACATTTAAAATTAGTTGTTAGTTGAAAAACAAATACAGAGATCTTAGCTGGGAACACTCTAAAAGTTATGTCCATTATTTTGACAGCAAAAATACAAATACCTAATACTTTATACCCCAACAGAACTATATCCAGGAAAGAAAAAAAGAAATTATCATATGTTAGCACCCAAGTTTTCTACCTGCACAATTCATTTCTTTTGACATACAATTTAAACATCCCTGAATCACAGAATCTTGACCCATTTGGGGGTATAAAGTCAACAGCAGTAATTATAAAATACTCTGTGGTAAGATAAAACACTATTGCAGCTGAGATAGAGAAGTTTGATTATTATAAAAGAAGAAACCCAGAAATGTTAGCTGACAGTTACATACAAACTAGTGAGAAATCAACAACCTATACAATGAAGCCAGTTTTAACAACAAAAAAAATTTCAAGAAAAAACAAAACACCTAATCTGTGACTAATCTTTTATTCAAACCTTGCAAGTAGAGATGTCACAATACTCAAATATTTAGGTAGGAGCTTTACCCAGTTAAGTGCCATTTTGTTGCTAATACAATAGATAAAATGAAAACTAGCAGTTATTTTGCTAATTGCATAAATGCAGTACACTCTGCATTGGCCTATGCCTCACTAACAAGCTATAAAACACAAGATATAGGCAGAAATCTAAGCATAATCTTTATACCACTAAACAAGAATTTTTCCAATTTCTTTTCTTCTGTTCCTAATCATTTAGTTGTAGTTAATGTAAAATTCCAACCAGTAGTATCCAATGTGAGTTAAATTTTACATCACAACTTGATCTAATCTATATAGTATTTACAAAACTGAATACACAGAGCGTACCCAAGAGCCAACACTGGACACGTTTCTCTGAGTTACTGATGACCCTCGTGCCACAGCAGCGGTATTGGAAGAGGCCACAGCCCCAGCAGAAACACAGCGTCTATCTAGAGCAAGTCATTGGATGGTCTGTTTACGCAACACCAATTTTGCAGTTTTAGGGGCCATTGCAACAACGTGCTGCCTTAAGGGCATGTGCTGCGGGGCTTCCAGGTGAGGTGGGGGCTGGAAAGGCAGCAGCAGGAGGACAGACAGGATCATGCATGGACAGGCTCCATGTGTTGCCACAATCAAAGGCAGGGGGCGCTATAACAGGGAGTAGGCATGGGTGAGGAGGAAGAGGCAGCCTGACGCAAGGGTGTCCATGTACAGTGGTGACAGCTGTCGCTTGCAGAGAAGTGACACACTGAAGTACAGGCTACAGAGAAGGTGGCGTCTTCTCACAGATGTGACCACTGTGCATGCGTGTAGAGACTTGGGAAGGAAAGGCACCGTGTCACACGTGGACAGCAGTTGGTGGCAGATTCACACACACACACGCGCGCGCACACACACACACACGCACACAGGCACACGCATGCGCGCACACACACAATGTGGAGAGTTGGAGGGGAAAAGCATTGTTGACCTGGCTAGGGTTTTGAACCCAGTGGCGTTTCAGGAGGGGTGACTTCATCATCAAGGGGCCACCACACACTTGGCCACACCTGGTGTTGTCTAAATCCACTGTGACATCCCTAGAGACCTGTACTGTGACATCCCTAGTCTTACACTGAACCACTGGAATAAAGGAAAAGGCTTGTCCAAACTTCACGTTCTGCTCACTCTGTCATTTTATTACCCAAGTATGCAGTACATTTCCAGTCACTTTACATAACCAAGCATGCTCACCATCGTCACGCTACTGTAAACCACGTTCAGAAAGTTAATACATAAAGCTTTGCATTTCAAAAAACTAGACACTTTAGTAACAATATTACAAAGGTTTTAGCTTCAAAAATAACTGAAAATGAAAAAAATAAACTTTTAAAGAATTAGCATCATAAAATTAATTTATTCCAAGTAAAAATACAAAATAATATTATGACATTGACCAGATATGAAAGTCCCTCCCAGAAACAACTCTATTAATGATTGAGAAAGCACTCCTTTAAAGAAAATACGAAATAAAATGAAAAATATGTAAATATGTTTAATTTTTCTCTTAGCAAAAAATCTTTCTAAAAATAACAATGAAAATTTGTCTCAGTACAAAGGCTACATTACTATTGAAAAAATACCAGCATGAAGAAAAGGTACATATTTGACAGTAGAAAAATGATTTCAGTGAATCACAATGTCTAAAGTTTGCAATGAAAATAAATCTGCAATAAAGATTTATGCCTTTTTTCTTTTCTTTTTTTTTCTATTTTTTATACAAACAGTACAAACAGTATTGCACATAACAACAAATAGTCGAGGTTAGATTATAGCCTTCAAAAAACCCACTAGTTCAAGTGTCACACATCAAAGAAAGGCCACATCGGACCTGTGTCACCGGGGGCTCCCCAGCCAAGCTGCAGGTCAGAAACACCTCTGTGTTTTAAAAAATAATTTTTTTGAAGGACCCTCTCTTAATATAACATTAAGAACTTGGGGGGGCACATTTATTTACAAAACAAAAGGGAACATGTTATAATTTAATAAACTAAAAAAGTTCTCTTTAAAAAAATACAAACAGAAGAACTCTTTCACAATCCTGGTCAGTCGTGCACAATCAACGCTTGATTAGAAATATACAAATGAAGGGAAAATAGTTTCTACCATCTATCCGCCACTTCCAGCACCAAATGGAGTTGATTTTTGTAACCTAGTCTTCTTGACCATTTTTTTTCTTTCCATCACTTCAGCTTTATGCTGTACAATCTTCCAGCTTAAATTTTTCTTTTAAAAAATCTCAGTGTTATTTTAGTACATGAAAGAGGGGAGCTTCTTCAAAAAGATTTGCTTCCTTCACATAATTAGGTAGATTCTGTAGGTTAGATATGATCTTTAATATTATAGTTATAAAGCTCTAACGTCTTCATTTTCAAAAAACACAAATAATCATGAAAAAAATAAAGTTACCCATCTGTTAAATCATTTTCTTGCAGAATTAAATTAATATATATTTTTCTGAATAAACTTACTTAGAAAATATCATTTTCTTTCCTATATTTCAAAATTGAGGTATTGCAAAAGATCATGTCAGTCAGAAAGCATGCCATTTTCCTTAAAAACAAACAAAAAAATCTTCAGCCAACTTGAAAACAGTCTAAAATACAAAAAGTAGTAGTGCATAACAAAATTTCTTGTGCAGATGAAAAACAAAACAAAACAAAACCCACAAACATAGAAAACAACAGCAGCAACAACAAACAAAACCATACCTGGGCTGAAAAAAAAAAAAAAAAAAGCAAATATTACCAAAAAGCCCAGAGGCAACCTCAAAAGGGGAGGGATCTAAGAAGCATTTTTAATCCAGTAAACAACAACAACTACTACTACTACTAGTTTGTTTTGCCTTTTTGAAAACAAAACTACAGGTTGAGAGCCAGTAATTGCAACTAAACACTGGAGGAAGAACAGAACGGAAATCAACAATACTAACTTCAGACAGTACAAGGACGTCACGGCACGAAGAACACAGTGACTCGCATCTACTCTGCAGCGTCATATCCAGTCAGATTGTCCCCAGAATTCCAAAACATAGGAAGAATATCAAAAAAGATTTACATACTCTCGCAATCATTGTGTGTGTTTATATGTTACTATCTGCAGCCCAAGAGTGAATGCTAAAAAAATGCCCATGGTAGTACTAGCAGGGCTTAATTCTATTCAAGCTTTACAGGATACATCCAGGGAACTAAGTAGTTAATTTCTTACCAGATAGCCAGCTCTACCCAGGCCATCTGGCTGTGTACAGACATTTCTTTAGCATCACCGTTACACAACTTCCTTAAAGATGTGTGCCTAGTTTGTCAATCTGACAACTTATCTCTAGATACTGTATATATTCTTAGTGTTTGTAAGCTAAGATGAGCTCTTTGGTTTTCTGGACAAGGTCTGGAGCTATGTAAAATGGTACAAGCACTAGGAGATCGTAACTAAGAGCTCATGTGTTACTTAATAATATACCAGTTAGGAACTGTCAAGTTCATTAATGTCTGACACAGAGGCTTTAAACAGTTAAGTTTGATCACAGTTAGACATAATCACTTTACTATATAAAATAAATTGCACAATATATAACAGAGCACCGCAAAGTACTTCATCTACCGTCCACGAATTTGCTTTAAGAATATCCTACACCTAGATTTTCTATTGGTTGTAATATAAGTCATTCTGTTATGGGCTCCTCTTACTCAGCATTTCATTGTCTGAGGCATGCCTTCCTCCCCTCCATTACCAACTCTTTGAATGAAAAAAATCTCCTTTTAAAAAAATGAGTAGTTCATAGCTTATATAGATTATTAATTTGTGCATTGTGGGAAGGTTTTATACTAGACATTGGATATAAAATTTATTGCATGCAGCAACCTGATTAAATAAACATGCAGTCAGAAATAGTGACCTTCCATTGAAGCTTTCTCAAGTCCATTCTGATCCCCTTTTGGCAGCTGATTCTATCCCTAAATCACAAAAGTGTGTTGGTGGGTTTTTGTTTGTAATTGATACCTTAGCCCAAATAGAGTATTACGGTATTGACAATACCATTTTTAATAGCAGCAAAAGCTATTGCAGCATAAATTTACATAACATTAAAAGATCTAACCAAAGTCCTCAGCAAAACAAAACAAAACAAAAAAAGGTCAAACATGAAGTAAAAAAGAAAGATCCAGCTTATGAGGTATCCTTACAACTCAAAATACAGAGCAACTAAAGGCTGATTTCCATTAAGGGCTACCCCTACTCTAAATGACCCCCACTAGCGAATGCTGAATTGGGAAATTTTGCTACATCTGCCACCTAACTCACGAGTGTTACCTTTGGTAAGTCTTGTCCTAGGGGCGACTCTCCAAGTTTCTGAAAATAAGTGCATGCTCCAGTTTAAAAACAACCAGAACAACAACAACAACAACAACACAACAACAACAACAACAACAAATGAAAGTCACAGACATCAGTCTAATGGCCACTGATGAGAATGGCAGTCTACGCACTGTCAAAAGTGACAAATCAGGTGTAAGAAAATTAAGGTATCAAGCAGACGAAGGTGTGAATCAAAGTGCAAATCAGTACCGTTATACACTCTGCAACATTGCATTATACTGGACACTGAGTTCAGTAATATGACTGTAAATAATAGTAATAATAATAATTAATAATAATAATAAAAGACCCATTTCTTCTTTAAAAATCGAGAACAAATGCACAGATTTCCAGAACACTGTAAGCCCTGAGGCAGTGCCCTCTCTTTCCCCTCCTTGTTATCTACTCCAGTACTTGTGGCTGGGTTGGCCCGGGGCTCAGCTCCAGCGGAACGGGACGTGCCGAGGACGGTCGCCTCCCTCCTTCACCAACGGTTTGTGGAACTCGCGCCCGGCACGGGAATGTATGCTCGCCCAGCAGTATTCGCAGTAATACTGCAGACAGGTGACGTTGGCACAGAAGAACGGGGCGAACTTCCCGCCGCAGCGCGTGCCCTGGCACTCGTCACACATCTGATCATCCAGCACGTACGGCTTTACTTCCACCTGAGCCCGAGGGGAGAGACAGGAAAGAGAGGTTAGCGAGGCTTTCCCCCTCCTCCTCTTGACAGAGGGCAGCAGAGCTTGATGGCCTCCATCAGACCCTGCTATGAACTCCGCTCATCTGAGGACAGCTCCTTCATTTAGGAGCTGTGCATTCTTCACCTCTCTGTGCCTTGAGTGCTCTGTCTGGCCATCTGGAAAGGCAGGATGCTTCCTCAGACACTCAGAGAGCTGTGACTGGGATTAATAGCATCCTGGACCTGAGCAGTGGCTGACCATGAGGGACAAGGAGCAGGTCAGGAGGGGAGCCAGTAGGACAAAGGCCCCTACGCGGAGAAGGCAGGATGCAGAACAGAGGCAGGTGCACTGGCTGGAACTAAAGCAGGAGGAAGAGTCGCAGGATTGGCACGGGGCTAGAAAGGCTGTGGGCTTCAGGGTTTTGACGAGATGATCAAAAGCCCAACAGTGGGCTGGGTATAGCTCAAGAGACAGAGCACCTGGCCCTGGGCTCAACCCCAGTGCTGCCCAGCCAGCTTTGAACAAAAAACAAACCAAAAGCCCAACACTCTAGCACAGTGCTGGACAAGGGGTCGGGGTAGGGGGTGGGGACTGCTGCAGGGGGAGAAGCCACTGTAATAACAGAGGCTTCTTGGATTTTATTCACTTGATATCCTTCTGCCCCTAGACTACACGTCTCATACAGAGGGTGGTTTTGTTTTGTTTTTTTGGTTATTGTTTTTAATCACAGCTGCATAGGGAACACTTGAAAATCTAAATGAGACAAACCTGTATGACATGAAAACAAAAAGTGGAGAAAGAACAGAAACTGGCAGGCTGCCCTCAGAGCCGAGTCTCTGTCTTAGTGCCTCAGAGAAGGCAGTGCTTCGCTAGCCTTCATTTTCCTCCTCTTATGTGTCAGGAATGAGCACAGAAATGAAAGCCTGTCCTGTGCCCCGGGCTCACCTCAGAGGCACTCGGGAGAAGAGCGATGGCTGGAGCTGAGCACACCTGGCCCTGGATCTGAGCTGAGCGTGGTGACTGAGCGACCTCCACCAGGGGCTAAGTGAACCACAGGAAGCAAGTGACAAATGGTGGGGCCGCATGCTGTACTTTCCCGCTTCTCCTTCCCTCTGATGGTCAGCTCACCTGGAGTTCTACCTTTGGCCATGAGCTCTCACCCACAGGCCTAGTTGCTAGCCAGGCATGTCTACTCAGAAGACCCAAGGCAAGGCTCATGCTAGCTCTTGATTACTCAAGAGGAAAATGTGTTGACTTCTCAACCTGAAGTTGAAGTTAGCAAATGGGCTTCAAAAACATCTCTTACATTTATCTCAACATCAACGGTTTAGAAGTTAACCTGAGTTCAAGTCAAGGCCATACTAGTAGCTGTGTAAATTTAGGTAAGTTTCTCAGTTGTGGCAAGCCTCTGTGGGTACAGTGGGGGAAGGACATTTCCTATTTTATATGGGTTTCTATAAGGAGTAAATGTGCTCAATCATACAGAATGTTGCCTGGTACATGGCAAGTATGAAGCCTAGTTATTATTCCTACCACTCTCTCTGAAGCAGGGAGCATCCCATCTCCTGCTTGGGTGTGTTGAGCATCAGCAGCCTCTGTGCTGGCCATGCTTCAGGTTTCCCTGGTTCAATTCTCCTATACACATGTTGACATTGCAGGAATCTACTTCCACAGTGTTCCTCTCCTGACCAAAAGCCACAGATTCTCCACTGCCTGTCATACTGAGATCAGCCACTTTAGGAGGAAAACACAGTCTCTTGCCTAAAACATGTCCAGTGCCTTCACAATCTGCTCACTCTCTCCCCATAATGTGCCAACTCAAACTTGACTTGCACTTTTTTTTCTCTCCTCACATAAAATTAGTAATTAGAAAGGGAACAACTCAGCAGTGCTTAATACATCTCAATATAACTCTCTCTGGTTCCAAAATGTTTTTATCACCTCCAGAGGAAATCCTGTACCTATGAAGCAATTACTTCTCTCGCCTCCTCTTCTCAGCTCCTGGCAACAGCCAATCCCTAGGCTTACCTATTCCGGATATTTCATATAAATGTAATCACAAAATATGAGATTTTTGTTGTTGGTGGTGGTGGTCCTGGGGCTTGAACTCTGGGCCTGAGCACTGTCCTGAGCTCTCCAGCTCAAGGCAAGTGCTCTACCACTTGAGCCACAGTGCCACTTCCAGTTTTCAGGTGGTTAGTTGGAATTAAGACTCTCACAGACTCTCCTGCCTGGTATGGCTTTGAACTGCAACCCTCAGATCTCAGCCTCCTGAGTAGCTAGTATTATAGGCATGAGCCACCAGCACCCGGCTAATATGAGATCTTTTATGTCTGGCTTCTTTCACTTAATGAAGTTTTGAGATTCGCCCACATTGTAACATGTGCATAAATGTACCTGATTGCTCTTTAGGCCTAAATAATATTCTATTACCTCCAGTCCCACACTCAACATTTTGTTAATCTATTCATCTTGTTGAGGGATAGCTGGTTTGTTCTACCTTTTGCTATTGTGAACAGGTGTATTTTTTTTTGTTTTTTTTTTTTGGGTCCGGTCGTGAGGCCTGAACTCTGGGCCTGGGTGCTATCCCTCAGCTCTTCAGATCAAGGCTAGCGCTCTACCACTTGAGCCATAGCGCCACTTCCGGCTTTTTGCTTTTTGCTTATGTGGTGCTGAGGAATCGAACCCAGGGCCTCATGCATGCAAGGCAAGCGCTCTACCACTGAGCCACCTTCCCAGCCTAACAGGTGTATTGTTATGGACACACATATATACATATATTTGAGCAGTAAAGTTCCTAATTTTTTTTAAAGAACTATTAAATCACTGGGTACAGGTGGCTCATGCCTGTAATCTTAATTACTCAGGAGGTTGAAATCTGAGAATAGAGGTTCAAAGCCAGCCCAGGCAGTAAAGTCTACGAGACTCTTTTTTTTTTTTTTGGTCGGTCATGGGGCTTTGAACTCTGGGCCTGAGTGCTGTCCCTCAGCTCTTCAGCTCAAGGCTAGCACTCTACCACTTCAGCTACAGTACCACTTCTGGTTTTCTGGTGGTTTATTGGAGATAAGAGTTTCATGGACTTTCCTGCCGGGGCTGGCTTTGAACCGCAATCCTCAGATCTCTGCCTCCTGAGTAGCTAGGATTACAGGCATGAGCCACCGGCACCTGCTCTTTGAGACTTATCTCCAATGAACCACCAAAAAGCCAGATGTAGTGTGTGGCTCAAGTGGTAGAGCATTAGCCTAGAGCACAAAAGCTTAGTTCCCAGGCTGCGTTCAAGCTCCAGGACCGGCACTGAAAAACAACCACCACTAAAAAACCCTTTGAACTCACTAAACTACTTGGATACATCAACCCACAATAGTAGCTCTCAGCATTAGAGATGGAAGAAGTCACCTAGTGACAACATAAATAAGCTGCTGATAGAAAATCTTCAATCGCTAAAAGCAACAAAACACGACTAAAGTAGACATAAGCTAAGCAGAGCTCACGTGCCCTGACAGGTAATGTCCCTGTAATGGATGATCTATGCATTTGTGAAGAGGGCTGCAAATCTATGACTTACTCAAGACAAGAACATTTCTGAAATGAAAGACTAGAATATTCTTTCTGGCCAATAGAGAGAAATTTTAACCCAGGTTCAGTCTTTTCTTTTTCTGAGTTCAGTATTTTTTTAAATTCCTGAGGCTTGAGAATGTCTGAATGTCATCTCAAAAACAATGATGAATTAATATAACAGTTTTACTTAAACTGTATGTTTGGGATCCTCAGGGCTGTAACCTGAGTTCATTTTGAATCAGTTCCAAGCCCTAGTTTCAAGTTATACCTGGTTTTGCCTAGAATTGAAGTCAGGGCTACCACAACCACACACTATGAGTCATCAGAGCCAAACCGATGCAGTGCATAATAATGCATCAAAATGGTTGCTAACAAACATTCTATGGCATGTAGTATAAAGAGAAGCATTTAATACCTCAAATTTCAAGCTCTAAAGAGAAAATGGTTTTTAAAGTTACAGGTTTGGTCAGGCACTGGTGGTAGCTCATGCTTATATTCCTAGCTACTCAGGAAGCTGAGATCTGAAGATCATAGTTCAAAGCTAGCCTAGGCAGGAAAGGCCACGACACTTTTATCTCCAATTAATTACCCCCAAAGGCAGAAGTGGAGCTGTGGCTCAGTAGCCTTGAGAAAAATTGCTCAGGAATAGTGCCCAAGCCCCAAGTTCAAGCCCAGGACTTGCACACACCAAAAAATTACAGGTTAGCTCCAAGTGTCCTTGTTTCCAGATTTTGCCTTAGTGTTCCACGGAGGGCCGTGGCTCGTCCAGCAAGCTGCTTGCTATCACCTGGAGCAACATGGCTTCTTGGAAAGCCCCTTTAATTTGGGATTCTCAAAGCTTTTAAGCACAATATGCTCATGATAATATCCTCTTGGCATGTGCCATGAAGAACACCTACTTTGGCCTAATCTCCACAGCAACCCCATTACCTGTCTTATTAAGTATCACGTCTTTCCAGTTAAGGTAGGTCCTCTAGCAGAAGACAGTATTAAAAATGTCTAAACATTAATTTTTAGTTGTTCAACTATTCATGGGATGAGAGTTTTGCTGTTTAAAAGTAGATAACAAATGTCAAGGAAATTTAGGTAGCAGTGTGATAACAGCTTTCTAGAGCAACAAAGTTATCCACACCTTTCAGATATAGCAAATTCGCAGTTACTAAGTTTAGAATTGACAGGGCAGACTTTAAAAAATATCTTGAGGGGAAATCACGTGGATTTTTTTTTCTTTTGATGTTAAGTAGGATGAGCCTTACACAGCCCTGTTCATATTCAAAGGCACTAGGGGGTGAAAGGAAAAAGATAACTTTTTCCTGAAACACAGCCAGCCAGCCAGCAGCAGCCCACGAGGAGCACCAGTTCACCCTCTGGTGTGATCTTCTTTTCCCTCATGCTATTTGGGGCTAGGACAGGAGGTATGTGTACAAACTATCCCACAACCCATGAGAACAGAAGGCAAGAACATGGTTATGACTGACACTCTGTGTGACTGCGGGGTCATCTCCTCCCTGGGACACGAAGGAACAGAGCACCTAGCTCCATTGCAATTCCCAGACCTCACTTCCCCTCCCCTAGGAGGGCTTTGTACTAGCAATCCCAAATAATAATGAAGACTGGGGGGAGGGGGGAGGGAAGGGGGACGGGAATATAGTTGTGGAGGTGGGAGGAAGGGATGGTAGGGGAAAAACAAAGGAGGAGGCAACAATGATTGATAAGAAATGTACTCATGGGGCTGGGAAGGTGGCTCAGTGGTAGAGCGCT